AACTATGTTTATGAACGGAAATAATGTGTTAATTACATAAAGTTTGAAGGCTAATAACCAGAAAAAGTCTAACTTATTTTTACAAAGAGAAAGATGCAAAGTTATCATATCTTTGCTTGCGATCTCCGAGATCCGTGGACACAGTGACGTCATGAGGAGGGAAATCGTAGCTTCAGCTCTAAGAGCGGAGTGAACTAGCCCTTGTATTCTCTTTAGCCCTGGGTAAGATCATCTGTATTGTAAGCGACATCTAAATCTTTATTGAGAGCTTCCAATATTGTTTGGATATGGAAACTCCCAAATTAAAAAGATTTTAAAAGAGGAGTACTTACGTTACCGCCTGCTAATCTCTTTATGTGAGTTGGGAAGAACGAATCTTTCCAGCCCTCGCAAGACCGTTCTGATTTTTGATTCTTCACTCACTGAATACAATTCAATGAATCATCTTTTATTCGAGTTTCGTCTGTAGTTGTTAGCCATAAGACAATACCACTAATTCAGTTTAGGGCATCGGAGAAAGCGATTGGATTTTGTGTCTTCGATGGGTATACGTTTGCTGTGATTTGCACGTTAGTGATTTGATTTTCATAGACAGTTTCATTTGGCATGGGGAAATACAAATCTACGAAAACTAATTTATTAAATAATTAGCGAATTTAGTAAGCGATGATAAGAAAAGATAATAGCAACAGAATAAACAAGTGAATATTTATACAACAAATTCTGCCATGCTTAGTAATGGAAAAGATTTTAATATTAATTTACAATGAAAAAGATAAGGCCACAGAAGGTTTAGAAAACTTTTCTGCGCAATACTCTTAGTATAAACTAATAAAAAAACTCACTGAAACATTTTGCTAATCTATATCCAAGAGTAAATGTAAGCCCTATATCCATTAAGCACGTTTCTGCGCGTTTTGAGTTTCAGGTCACCCATTTAACATTTATTATAATTTTAATTAGACAATGTGTAGATAAAAATTAAATGCCAGTTTGTGAGTGTGTGCGTCTTTTATAGACTCCTAAACCAATCAACCAAAAGCCATGAAATTTGGCATACAGACAGTTCGAAGCAAAAGGAAGGTCACTGTTGCCATTAGAACATTCTTTGACGAACCGTTCTAGTGAAAAACGTAAAGGTGATTTTCTGATTGGTTAAGCTTTAGCCATTGTTTTAATTTTTACAGTAGACGATTCAACTTTTAAAATATTTTAAAGATAAAATCAGTGACATTTACTAGCTTATAACTTTAATTTATCTAAAAAAAACTTTTTTGCATGGTCATTAATATTACCCATTGGCAAAATGGGTGTTATTTTGGGTTTGATAGCGTGCGAACTTACTTGGACGTCATCAGATTTTTCGACAGTGTTCAAGAGTAATAGTAAACAGTGCGCATGCGTCGTCATTACATGCGTCGTTATGGTGACCGCTGCTGATTTTCTTTTTATTTTCACTAGCAGGCATTTTTAAAGTATTTACATAATAATAACTTAAAGTATTTTTATATTCTTTTCATTATTAACTTATAATTACTCACTTGACGGTGATTTCAATATAAATATAAATACTGAAAAAGGAAAAGTATTTTGCGCCTTCTTGAAACACGTTCATAGGCCGGATTTGAAAACCAATCCGATGACATGCATCAATCTAGACCAGTGTTTCCCAACGTGGGGCCCACTCCCCTCCGAGGGGCAATTCAAAAATGGACTCGACATAAGTTTAAACCTTTTGATCTGGGCCATTTAAATGCAATGCGAGATTTCGGTGACAAAATCGAAAGAAAAAAAGCAAATTCTTAAATAATTGCGGTCAATAAATATTATGTGACTTAGGGATTTTTCAAGCGACAAATCTGAAATGAAGTATCTGTTTACAGTCGATGGTAAAGCATTTGTGACTTATTTAGCCAATATCTTTGAAAAACTGGATATATTAAATAATAAACTTCAGGGAACAAATAAAACTCTTGCTGATGCAAAAGCGAAGACATTCGGCTTCATTACCCTTATTGAGTTATGTCAGAAATATATTAACAACAAAAACTTTGAACAGTTTCATTGGCTCCAAAAATGTGAAGTAAATGATGCCGCTTTACTTGTTATTGTCTATCATCTGAAAATTCTATCGGCTGATTTAAAA